CTGCCCGGAGCCGTTCCCGGGAGCGGGGCTCCCGCCTGGGCGGCCAGTCCTGCTCACGTTATTCACACGAGGGCTCAGCTGGCCCCGCGGACCTGAAATTCATTATGGATTCAAGCGAAGCACACACGTAATTGCAGCAGGCTTTGGACAAGGTCAGCTCAATGCGTAACAGCTACTCGGAGAGGGGCGGATTTTCACAGAAAGAGGCCCAATATTCCCCAAAGCGAGAAAATCCCAAGCGTGGAGGCCGAGCCACCCGTGAGCTCAGCCTTAGGAAGCCGGGTTCCTATGGGAGCACCCGTGGTAGGGGCTGAGGAGAGGGGCTGTGCGCACCCTGCACACACCCCACGCATGACTTTTCTACTCTTATGCTCAGCAATACCTTATCAGAACCTATGTGCTCATGCCAAGGGTTTTCTTTTGGGGTAGCTGGGAATACTTTGAAAAACAGGGATTTTGGGGGGATTCACCTGAAAGTATTAACTGTATTTGGGCTTCTGTTTTTCAAAGAGCAACGTACAAGCTATTAGAACCAAGAAATCCCAATGCTTTCTATAGCGAGCCCAAGCTATTCATTAGCACTAAATGAGTCTGATTATGGTTTGATAGCACTTGCTATTAATTGCTCCAGGGATGGAGTGCACTTCTCAGGGCCCCTCGAAGCATGAGAGACAATATCACTTTCAAGCCCTACTCGCTGATCCAGGTGCCACTTTTCTTTCTTCAAGAGCAAAAAATAATGCCAAAGTCAGACACTTAAGAAGAGACATGGGGATCTAGAAGATGGGAAAAGCTAGAAAAGAGGTTTTACACAAAAGCCAAGTATAATCCACAAAAGATGAGTAAAAAGGTAAAAATGAAGGTGAGCTTTTGTTTCAGGGCTCATGATGAAGGCCAAAGGGAGGGAGCTGTCCAAAGCACTGGTAGATCTCCCATGGGCACAGCAATAGAAGCCAAATACCAGCACATCAACAGCTATAGATGGTGCTTGGTACGTTCAGCTCAGCCTTACTCCCTCAGCCATAACTTTACATGCAATGTTATAGGATTTTTTATTATTATCCCTTTGCAGTAGGATAACACTAATCATCACTGCTGCTGCGAGTGGCTGCACTGCAAGATGTTGAGGCTGTCATGTACCAGGAGCATCTGCAAACAGCTGAGCGCGTGTTCACAGACACTATCATATTGATGTATCACGATCCTTATCGAAGGGATTATAGCAACAAATGCTCTATTTACCCACAAAGTGCTCTGAGGAGGAATAGGGATCTCGCCAAGGCATTCACATTCAAAAGTGACGCTAAAGTTTATCACAAGAAACATTGAATTATCTGCAATGACTGCTAGACTGAAGCAAGATAAAACAGAAATTTGAATAATAATTGATAACTCCATGCTGGAATAAATGCTATTAGACTATATTGGGGCACATATTCCTTTTATCTATAAAACACAATTAAGAATTAAACCGAGCGCAGCTCTTCGATGCTGGCATCACGGTGAGGTTCACGGCTGTCAGTATCTGAACTACAAATTGTAAACAGGCAAAAGTGTCCTCTGTTCCAGAGCTCAGGAACTCATTTGCAAAGTCTATTTTCAATTAAGGAAACCAGAGTACGGGATCACATGGCTCCGTGTGCTCCGAGAAGGGGTTTATCAAGCCGGAGCGCATGCAGGGTGGGCAGGCTCATCTGCGGCGCACAGATAAAACAGCAACAGCAATTTCCGTGCTCCTGTCAAACCTATCGCCATGGCCTTTGCTATTTATCACGCTGTTTTCCAAGGAGCACCCCCATTGCCCGCATTATGAATCTCAGTCTTGGCACAGCACTAAAACACCTCTGTGCAGCTGCCTGCTTGGGGCACCAAGGCTTGGGGCTCTCGCTGCAACCGGACACTTGCATTACATGATGCTCAGGATGCCAGCAAAGGTCTCTTCATTAAACTCACTTACCATTAGAAATGCAGAAGACTGCTGATTGTTCAAGGATGCTTCAAAATGAAATTTTACAGCCTGCTTTTGGTACCAAATAACAACCTGGAGTCTTACATTAGCCAAAAAGTAACATCCTCATGTGCAAAGGCAGACAGACATATAGCACAGCACGGTTTGGGTGCTTTGCAGTTGGGTCCTGCAAGCCAACGAGCCACAGAAACTGCAGTTTCACGGTGTCCAGTGACCACGGGGCATCCAGCATGGGCATTCAGGGAAAAGCTCTTAAAGAACATCGTAGAAAACATGAGGGCAATGTTGTTCACAATCATGCTTTTTGCTGCAGTATTTACAGCCATCATCAAAGCTGAATTCCCAGCCACGGTGATCATGGTGCCAAACGACGTCCACTGCAGCAATTTCCCCATGGCCTCTTCCTTGCAAAACGCTGTTTGTTCCCAAAGCCTATACAGCATCTGCACACAACTACTCTGCGAGCTCTGCAGACTTCACAAGCTCAGCATAGCATTTAAGACCAAGTATTTCCTTTAACTACAATTTCCATTCTCTCATTGGTGCTAATAGCAGCTCATTCAAACATAATAGAAGATATTTGATTAAAAGCAGATTGAGTTGTCTTGTTATTTAAAATCTTATTGAGTTGTGGCTCCTGTTTTTCGCTCAGAAGGAGCCCAGAGGAGGGAGGACCCGGTGGCAGCTGTACCTGCTCACTCAGTGAGATGTCCCTTGGGTGGCACAGAGGTGACCCCACTTCGTGCAGAGCCTGGAGACAGAGAACAGGACGGTGAGTCTCTTCAGCAAGAATTACGTCTCATGTTTCATTTCTCAGTTACTTTCCTCGCTGCTATTTCTGGTGTTGCAACACATATAAGTTAACAACATCCATGCTATGATGCTGATTTTGTTGCTGCCTTCCAGACACAATGCTCGAGTGCAGTAATAAAGCTGCCGGATACTGCCTAGATGTCTTAAGAGACCTTGTTTCTTCCTAACCTTTGATTGATGGCCTGAAAGTGTGCAGGCTGGAGGCAGAACTTGGAATTACTCATATCTTCTTCATAAACTTGCCTTTTTGAGCCAAATATGCACGGTTCTTATCAGCCCGACTCGCTGCGATAGAGCATGCTGCTGCTATGCCATTTCCAAATGCACAGATTCAGAGGTTGATGACCTTCCCATCCTGTCAAACCACCACAAATGTCAGCACTAATTAAATATCCATGGAGCAAATGGAGAGCTGGGCTGTTCAAAACAACTCCGGGAAGACGAGAGCAGCTTTGCCATATCCAGCGTGTTCTGCACCAACATGTCCACGCACAGATGTCGTCTTCCCAGGCACTGAATCCATTTCCAAGTTGGAGCTTGAACCCAAGAAGCGACTGCAGACCAAAGTCCAAAGCATGGCCATAAGGAAGGCAAGTCCTGCCTAAACTCAGTCCTAACCGAGGAGCACAGTGGCTGCTGGTCACTTGCCCAGCGCTGCTTGAGCTGCCCCAAGGCAATGGGAATCGCCAGCGTGTCCGGAGCCAGCTGTCCCAATCCATCACAACCCTGTGCTGGAGGTACTTCAACAAACGTTAGGACAAGCCCAAGTGACCTGAGGGTGCATCTGTATTTCTGATGCATTCTACAGTGCAGCATTACTTTATGCCATGCTAGAGGATATAGGCAATTGCTTATCAGAATTAAGCACACACGTTAATAAAATCACTTTCTACAACTGCCTCTTCGGAAAATGCCATTTGTTTTAACTTGATAGGGAGGCTTCTGGCTCACATCTTCTCAAAGCAGAAAGCAGATTGTCTTTCTATTTGTGCTCACAGAGCAGAAAGCATGTCTGCATTCTTCTCTACTTTTCCATGCTCAATTGCTTGCTTTAAACGTGCATTTGTAGAATATTACTATTTTGAGGATAATAGTATATCATACCTAGATATATTAGCCAAATAGTTTTCATAACAGCTCTGTAAAGGGATCAGAATGCATATTACTGCATAGCTATTTGAATGACTTCTACCTAAGAAAGCGGTTTCACCTCAAAAACAAGTACATATGTATCCATAGCTACCTATACAGCTTATATAAAGAAGAATAGCTTTGAGCATGAGTGTTTTCCATGGAAGACTAACTGAACCCCACGGAGCCCAGTGGCCAGGCCAGGCCCTCGGGTGACAGCGTGCCGGGCTGGCTCCTCCTGCGCAGGTCACCACAGCGGCAGCAGGGCAGGAGGCTGCAGGCGCCAGGGGACACGGTCCAGCTGCAGGCACAGGTCCCACCAATCACAGTCACCCTGCTGCTTATGGGGCTGTCACCATGCTCTAATATATATATATGTATAAAGATTACAAACAATATTCCTCACACAAGTTTTCTTTAGCTACCTCACAAACATCATGCCTCCTTTTTCTTTTGTTTTTCAGTTAATTTCTTGGATTTCTAACAAACGTAGCATCTTCTGGGACTTCATCTTCTGTAGAAAGCCAATGTAACTGCCCAGCATCATGGACTTCACAATACAGATTATCAAGTGTTAAATCTGCAAGCTCCCTCAGATCTGTATCACAAAGCTGTATCTCCTCACTGCTCCTCGTCCCACAGGTACAAGACAGGAATCATATCCCATTTCCTGGTCCTTCTGGGAGAATTTGAGGCCTCGGGGAGGACTTTGGGAAGGGTAACGGGGTGTTTGAATGCAGAGAGCAAGAGTGAGACAGGAGCTTCCCATGGACTCCGTGATGGCCATGGAAAACACGGATGCATGGTGTTATCTCCAGCAGCCACTTGCAGCACAGACTGACTCATTAAAGGGGATAATTAAAGAGACACTCCTACATGGTTAATTACTGTCAGCAATTAAACCTAGAGGCTCATTGCAATAGATACCTGAAGGACATGAACTGAGAAATGGCTATGCCTGGCCAATGTTTCTTCTGCTTCTGTTCCACCCCAGCATGGCTCTTAAAAGGCTACATTGATTTTCTGAAATGCATTTTTCAAACCTGGTAACTAGGAGCCAGGAAGGATGTTTGCTACCAGGACCCTGTTTCCCTGGCAATCCAAAGAGCAGTTAACCTCTTCACAGCAGTCAATGAGCGAGATGGATGTCCACACTGATGAGCCAGCAATAAGGCTGCAAGAAAGTCTTGGTGCAGATGGCTGCAAGGTGGAAGATCTCATGGTATAAAGTAAAATGCATTCGTTGCTTTAAGATTGCTCAAATGTAGAGTTTTCTGTGTTTGGGAGCAATAGAAGAGTAAGAACAAAAGGAAGAATAATTTTAATATTTTCAAGGTTCATTTTAGTATTAGGTGTTGCCCATAAAAGCTTGCAAAATATGAAGACATCTTGGGCTTAAACCAAATCATTTATGAATTTGTTTGGATAGTAGCTTATTGCAAATTAAAATTACACTAAAACTTTTCTGTTTAAAAACTTAACATCAGACGATAAGTAGTGCTTGAAAAGTCAAATGGAAAGATTCTTCATCTATAAATGAACGCAATTTAATGGATTAAAAGTCATTCCTATGTCCTTGGAAATCATTGGGAAAGAGAGGAATGGCCACGGCAAGGCAGCTCTGGCTACAAGGAGCTCTAGCTCATCTTCCCATCCCAACCAGTTCAGCTCATTGATTTTTTCCACGAAAACACCCATGCCAGATCACGGACGCCATTTGGAAGGAGTGTATTTAACTGATAGAAAACCTCCCGGGTTATTTGCCAGGTCTAAGGAGCTTCCTTACGCACACAGCAGCCTGCAATACGCCTGTATTTATTTGCAGCCATGGGAAGAAGGCAGAGTGGAGGGACGGTCTCCAACCTAGTGAAGTGCGGGCACATCAGCGGATGCAGCTGGTGACTCAGCAGAGATGAGTCGCCTCTTCAGGACTTCACGTGAAGCTTGAGGAAATTCTCATGGTTGCCTAGGATACCAGAAATGCCTTTATCTTATTAATTCTGACTCCGTAGTTCTTGTGGCACTGTGTGGTGGTATCTCCTGATGGCACAGGAGGATAAAGTTTGACCTTTTCCCTAGGACTCCAAATTTACATAAACCTCCCTGCCCTTTCGCAAGCAAAATGGTCATTTTTCATTTCTGAGACTTTTTTGCCTCCTTGCAGGAGGTCTGAGGAGACAGGGCCAGTCGCAGCAGTCTCCAGCAACACGAAGGTTGGTCTCACAGGTCTTCAGCCCGTGCATGCACCACGGCACAGCATTCGCAGCAGGGCCACCACATTTTCCTGCGGGAAAGCCAAGTATCTAGCCCAGCTTTTAAGTATTCCAAGTACGCAAATAACATTTGCAGTGAACCAGCGGAGCCAAGACAAAATCCCCACCAAAACAAACAGAAGTCCAAACCAACGTCTCTATGTATTTACGTGGCCAAAAGCAAATCCCCTCACCTGGTCGATTGTATGCAAGCCATGGGAACATTTCCTAGAGCAACACTTAAAATAGTTGAAGCAGAGGCTCTTCCGGAGGTCCTGCTGGATGCAGCCAGCAGGGCTGAGGAATGCAGCTGGACAGCATCTGCCAGGGAGGAAAACGTGCGGAAGAAAGAGCTGCTGGGCAATACACGTGCAAAGAAATATGTCCAAAGGCAGTTCTAAAAGCAGTGCTCCATGTCCTGCAGCAATATTGAGGACAGCCCGAGCCATATATACGTATATGTATATTCACAAACACACAGCTATATACACACAAAAATATATATTCTGTATGTTTCTGCTTCCAGTCTCCACTCCAGCTCTAGCTTTCCTGAAGAGCAGAGCAAGTATCTTCCTCCAAATGGGAATGGGACTGTTTCCATGCTTTAGAAACCAGATCTACATCCTACACAGAGCAGCACAAGTCCTTGGAGATAGAGCATAAAATATCCCAGAAAGAGGTAAACTCACAGATTTAACAGGCCCAAATGGCCCCAAAGATGCCAGAGATTTCTTTGCTCCCTTTCTGCATGATTTGTGCCATGTAGAGGCAACAGAAATACGAGAACATAATGAAAGGAGGATGCGAGCAATGAATAGTGACCAATGCTGGAATTTTACTTCTCCCAGGTGAAATGTAAGCATTTTTTAAGAAAAGAGCAGAAGAAAGCCTAGTTATAGCTCTCCTTTAAGACTGCCACAGCCAGCCATCCTGCAAAGGGAGAAAAACAACGCTGTTTGACCCAGCCGCATGCTTAAATCCCTTATTAAGGGTCAGGATGGATGTGAAACATGGACCTGCACAGGGCAGAGTGTAAAGCACCAGAACTGATGCTGAGAGACAAAGCTGCCTCCGCACTGGGGACTAGCCAGAGGTCTCGGGAACGCGGCTAAGAGCTTCTCACCAGGAGGGCATCCTTCTAAGGATTATTTAAAAAAATAAATAAAAAAAAGCAAGATTTGGGGAGCAATATTTCCCACTCAGACCCAGATTGTATGCTCTGCCTTCACAAGCATCTCTGACTGGAAATAAATTTTGACTCCATTTGACACATTCCGAGCACAACCAAAGCAAAAAGAAGCACAGGGAGAGGTTTCACACGTGCGCTTTGGTTTTTATTTTTCCGATAGTCCTCTCCTCCCTGCTGCTAGTCACATCAATGGAAAATCCTCCAGCGGCGCTTTCAGGATATGAACTCACCATGGACGTCCAAGCAAGACAACGGCTGCAGCACCACTGATCTCAGCTACCATCACCCAGCACCTTCACCGTCCTCTGCTCCTCAAGGAGAGGAAGAGATGTGCAGCTGCTTCCTGCGATCACTTTATAGGCACTTTCAGGGCTAATTAAAACACCATGCATCATTAACGAGCCCCAGGGCTTCCTGGTGCCTTTGCAGCTGCTCCAAGCCTGAGAGAAGCTGGGAAGCCCTGTTAATAGTGTTGATTGATTGGGTGATGAGGAAGTGATAGGGTCAATGCAAAACACTTGTTGCCCACCCATGGGACCTCAAAAAGCCCGAGATATTGAAGCAGTTGTGGTCAGGGCTGTAGTTAGGACAAAACCCTCCCTGGGTGGGTCCAGCAGTGACCAGTGAGATGCATCAGTAACAATGCTGTGTTCAGCCCAAGCAAATGGGGCCCGTTAGCCTGAAACAATAACTTCCCTTTTCCCCTAAAGAGAATAATGAGGCTGCTGCCAGCAGCAACCAGCAGCGTCTCCCTTTCCGAGCCCGGGACTTTGGGACGATGCACTTGGACCGGCCACCCAAATTTAGGCGATTCCACCTTTACTTAGGACTAAACCTGACCACATGTTGATGGAAAATCCTTCGTATTTGGTGGTCGAGGCCTGTGTGCACAAGCCCTGGAGTCTGTTACGCCCTGCTGGCCCGTAGGGACCTGGGGGCAGCTGGGGGAGGCGATGGCACCTGCTGCCGGGGACACTTCCATGCAGAAAAAGGGCTTTTCTCCGCACCCTGCGGAGCGCAGGTAGAGGAGCCAGCGCATCCCGGCTAATCCTGTGCTGGAGCCAACTGAAGGCAGCTGATAATTAGCATTAATGGAATTTTTATTAGCGCTTGCAGCTTCTGCTGGAAACGATCTGTCACAACAATTTCCCCGTTAAGACTCCTGATTTCTGTTAAAGCCCTCCAGCTCCTAGCAAACCTTTCCCTGCCTGACAAAACCAAAGCAAAGCAAAAGCCCTCCCAAAGCCCGGCTAAGGGCTCGACAGGAGGGACGAGCACGAGATGAGGCGCAGGGATGCCCCCCGAGCAAAGCCCATTGCAAGCAGCTCGATCCCGTGTCCTGGGTGCAGGGTGTCCATGTACACGGCAGCTCCCGACGGGCACAGCCCCACGCATCCCTCTTGTGCACGTTCTTGTGCAATATCCTGACCCCCAAGTCAGCTCTAAGGAGAGGGAAACGGCCACAAATTGTGGGGCTGGGAGCGTGCGGAGTCTCTGGAACAAGCTGCAAAGCACGTTCAACACCGGCCCTCCAGGAACTGAAAATGAGGATATTTTGGGTGAGGAAAACTCGCCCAAGCTTGTGATTAAAGATCCTTAAGGATCCTTAAAGGATTAAGATCCTTTACCCTGCTAGGGCCGTTGGTCGTGGTGCAGAAACAGGGAATTTATAGCAGCGGCCCATGAGGAACCCTCCTCAGCTCCGGGTGTCAAGGTCATGGTAGGTTCCAAAAATATATATTTTATCAGACACTCAAGTGTAGACATGCCAAGCTTATCATTGCCCAAGGCAAGGCGCTCTTGAGTGGAAACGACTCGTGGTTGTGATTTGAAAAAGGCAACTTAATAAAGAACCCTTAGCAGAGCTTCAACCAGAACAATAAATTTGAGCTTTTTCATCAGTATAAAATGGCAAAAGACAGTGATATCAAGGAAAAACCTAAGTTCCTGTACGAAATAGTAAATGTCAAAGAGTTTTCCCCCAAAATTACTATTACTGCATGCACAGCTGTAGCCCAAGCCCAGTTCTGAAACTCCACAGCTAGGCACACTTCTCCAGAAGCTAGGGGAAAATCCAAAGTACAATAAAATCATGATATGTCATATTTAATGGATAATTGAGATGTAAGACGTAGGGCTGAGTAATATCAATGTAGCTTTAGAGTTTAAAGCTCTACAGCTTTAAGAGCAATAAATGTTAGCTAATATTAGGAAAGTATCTCATAAATATCAGAAAATGCATATTAATGTGATAACTTACAAACAGAGTGATCGTATCCTGGTAAGAAACTCAATAAGCCTCGCAGCAGACAGCATGGTGTTTGGAGCTGTTATTTCACTTGATGGATGCACAAAACCCATTTAAGTGCTTTTCTGGAGACTGTTTTGCTCATTTTCTTGCTGTCTCTTGTGTCTCAGATCAATTATTTTGCTACTGCGCTGGGCTAACGAGTAACTCTTTCAAAAGAAGAGTATTTAGGCAAAATTGCTTGTCCCCAAGGCCTTGGAGGCACGTGCATCCAGGAACAACAGGGGAGCATTTCCCCCCGGCCGATGGGCCTTGCTCCCTTCAGCGGCAGCAGAAAGAGCCTAAAAACTTACTTTCAAATACGCTGTGTCATCTTTTCCCCACAATAATGTATGTGCTAGGAGTTTTCATGCACTAGAAAGTCAGGCTTAATGAGCAGGAAAAAAGGAGCAAACACGAAAGCAAGTAAATGACCCTGGAAGTTCATTTTTATATATAGATAACAGCAACTGTTAAGAGCCACCTGAGCTCTCTGTGGGCTGGGAGGTGAGAAACCATTGCCGAGTGCAGGCAAAGGGAAGAGGAGAGAGCAGCGGGTGGAAAAAAATAGGGTCTCAGGGGTCTATTTGAGGTTATTTTATCCGTTTCTTGTGCGGCTGGTGGCTGCTTTCAGCTACCGAAGTGCGCATGAGAGGAGCAGAGATTTTGCTGTCCCCGGGGAACACACGGTCCTGGCACAAGGGGGTTGACCAGGGCGCAGCGCTGGGCTCTGTGCTGCTGTCGGGAGGACAGGAGCCCACTTCGGCGCTCCTTTTGCATCAGTGTAAAATGGCAAAAGACAGTGATATCGAGGAAAAGCCTAAGTTCCTGCACGAAATAGTGCACGTGCAAGAGGCCGGCACTTTCCCGGCGGCTGTGGGGACTTTGCAGTTCCGCTTGCGCCCAGAATAGCCCTGACTGCAGGCACAGCTGTAGCCCAAGCCCAGGTCTGGGAGTCCACAGCTAGGCACGCTTCTGCAGACCCCCGGGCTGCTCGTCCCTGCCGGACACCGAGCTCGGCAGCAGAGGTTCCCGGGACCCCAGGAAGTCCTGCACGCCTCCGGGACTCCTGTTTTGCTGGAATTTGGGGAAGGAAGGAGATCTGCCCTCCCTGCTTTTCAAGGTGCCGAAGCTGGGCTGCCCTGCTGGGCTTCACACCAGGCTCCTCTGGGCCTTCCCCGCTCCGCGGTCGTTACTGACAGCTCAGACGTCAGGATCTTTGTGTCTTTCCTATAAATAAGCCCTGGGACCGCTGAGGTTTCATCCCTGTGTACCGATGTCTTAGCGTGGTTTGAACAGAATGCTGGTGTTTAGGAAGGGAAAGAACATTGTGCTGGGAAGGCTGCAGGGCTCTGGGCACCTCTAGGGACTCTGCAGCTGAAAGCAGCCGGTACCAAAGGTGTCCAGCTCCATTTCCATCTCCCCATGGAGACTCGGCCAAACACAGCACCAGTTTTCACACTTTTGCAGAATTCCTCCAGTTTGCACTAAGCCTGATGCCAAAGGCAGCGTGCAAACACGCAGCACCTCTGCTCAAAGAGCAGGCTTTGCATTTCTTTCAGGAAGCCACCAGAACTGAGCGTCTTATCTAAATAATAATAATAATAATAATAATAATAATAATAATAATAATAGTAATAATAATAATAATAATAGTCTCGGTGGCTGCTGCAGCAGAGCTTCCTGGGAGCGCGGGAAACAATTCACAGGTGTGGGTAAGAACCGGGATGGCTGGGCAGCAAGTGCTGGGCAGCAAACCCCGCGGCGGAGCCACTGGAGCTCCTGTTTGAAGGCTACTGACGTCTCAGTGGGCTGGGCAAAAGAGGGTAAAACAGACCATGCTTCAGAAAAGCTCCCCACTGGCTTCTCTCCTGTGCAGACCACGAACACTGGCCGTCCCTGCCAGGATGGGCCCGGTCTGTGCTTGCTTGTGACTTCTGTGTACTGGGAGACCTGCTCTTTGTCTCTGTTGGTGCAAGTGCAACGAGCAGCAACATCCCCCCCAGCCCATCCCTGCGCGCTGCACCGCAGGAAGCGCCTGTGATAGATGCAGTTATTAAAGGGGGATTTGGCAGGGTGTTTTCGTGGGGTTTGTTCTTCTATTTTTTGGATTTGGTTTTTTTTTTTTTTTGCTTTTGAAAGCTAACAGAACAGTTACAGAGAGCTTGCTCATGATGAATACAAACACGAAATGAAAGTGCTCCTGTAAAGTTTGAAAGGAGTCCTCCCGAATAAAAAGGAAACGGCAAATTGTCACTAGTTGCTAAGTTACCACTCAAAGCTCATTTCTCCTCAAGGAAATCAATTAGGCCTTTTAGCCTGTAGCAAAGCAGGTGGGAGCGGTGCTGAGGGGGGAAGAATCTATAAAACGTGAGTTCCTTGGACACGGCTCCGACCTGTGGGGCTTCCTGACCCCGGGGACGCTGCAGGGCTAGCTGCAGGTGTCTGCACTGAGGGACCTATTTCCAAACGTGAAGCCGCCTTGCTCCAACCCACCTCCCCTTCGGACCAAACTCTGCTCCATACAACACCGCAATGCCACAGACAATTACTCTCCTTAAAAGCAAGGACCCCGAGTTACTGACACAGTGGCAATCAATTAAACACTTGCAAATGGGTCTCTGCAGAGCTGCGAGCTAGACCTGTGCAGATGGGAAGGGATGCACGTGCACTTCTCATGCAAGAGCTAACACCTGCATTTTGCAGAGATGCAATAATGCAAAATGTGCATTTTTCATCTTTGCTGCCTTCTTTTGGGTTGTCAAGTCTCAATTTCTCCCAAAATGAGGAAGATCTGTTTTTTCCTGGGAAAGCAGGGCTGGCACAGCCACCCAGCAGGTTGCCAGGGCAGTGCTGGCTTTCAGGCTGCCTGTGGCTCCGGGATGTGACGAGGAGGGTCCCAGCAGAGGGTCGTCCCAGCCCAGCAGCTGCTGTGCTAATAACCCCCAGGAGGACACCCCGTCCCAAGGCAGAGCCCCGGCACCTCTCAAATGCTCTCAGTGTCATTGAAACTCTAGGAAGTT